AAAGGTGAGAAAGAAGAGAAAGAAGAGAAAGGCAAGAAAGAAGAGAAAGACAAGAAAGAAGAGAATGGCAACAAAGAAGAGAATAAAGGAAGAGAAAGGCAACAAAGAAGAGAAAGAAAACAAAGAAGATAAAGAAAGAAGAAGAACAGGCAACAAAGATAAAGGCGAGAAAAGCAAATAAAACAAAGAAGAGAAAGAAAGAGAATGGCCAAAAAAAAGATAAAGATACTAAAGGAGGAAAGAAAACAAAGAAAAGAAAGAGGAAGAAAAAGAATAATGAGGAAGGATAAAGAAAGAAGAACAGAGCAAATAACAACAAAAAGGGAGAGAAGATATGAAAAGAAGAACAAATAAGAACTAAAAAAAAAGAAGAGAAGAACAGAGCAAATAATGAACAAAAAAAGAAAGAGAAGATAAAGCAACAAAGAAAGAAGAAAAAAGAGAATGGCAACAAAGAAGATACTAAAGGAGGAGAACAGAGCAAATAAAAAAGATAAAAGAGGAAGAAAGGCAAATAATAAAAAAGGGAGAGAAGATAAAGATATTAAAGGAGGAGGAAGAAAGGCAAATAATGAACAAAAAGAGAAAGGCTAAAGGAGGAAAGAAGAGCAAAAAGAACAAAAGGAAAGAAGAGAAAGAAGAGAATGGATAAAGAACAAAGGAGGAAGAAAAGCAAATAAAACAAAAAAGGAAAGAGAAAGATACTAAAGGAGGAGGAAGAATGGCAAATAATGAACAAAAAGGAAGAGAAGATAAAGAATTAAAGGAGGAAAGAAGAGAATAAAAAGAGAAGAGATATTAAAGGAGGAGGAAGAACAGAGCAAATAATGAACAAAAAGAAAGAGAAATAAAGATACTAAAAGGAAAGAAGCAAATAATGAAAGATAATACTAAAGGAAGAGAATGAGCAAATAATGAAAAAAAGAAGAAGATAAAAGATACTAAAAGGAGGAAGAACAGAGCAAATAATGAACAAAAAAAGAAGAGATAAAAGAAAAAGGAGAAGAAAGAGCAAATAAGGCAAAAAAGAAGAGAAAGACTAAAAAGGAAAGAACAGAGCAAATGAACAAAAACAAAGAAGATAAAGATACTAAAGGAAAAGAAAGAGCAAATAATGAACAAAAGGAAGAGAAGATAAAAAAGGAGGAGGAAGAACAAATAATGAACAAAAAGAAGAAAGCAAAATAAAAGGTAACAAAGAACAGAGCAAAATGAAGAATAAAGATATTAAAGGAAAGAAAAAGGTTAAGCAAATAATGAACAAAAGGAAGAGAAGATAAAAGATACTAAAGAAGGAAGAAAAGGCAACAAAAAAGGAAGAAAGATAAAGAGCAAATAATGAACAAAAAAGGAAGAGAAGATAAAGATATTAAAGGAGGAGGAAGAAAGGCAAATAATGAACAAAAAAAGCAAATAATGAACAAAAAAGAAAAGAGAAGATAAAGATAGTAATGAACAAAGGAAGAAGGAGAAAGAGAAGAGATACTAAAAAAGGGAACAAAGAAGAAAGAACAGAGTAATGAACAAAAGGAAGAGAAGGATACTAAAAGGAAGAGAGCAAATAATGAACAAAAAGGAAGAGAAATAAAATCAAAACTAGGAAGAAAGAATTACTAAAGGAGGAGGAAGAAGCAAATAATGAACAAAAAGGAAGAGAAGATAAAGGGAGGAGGAAGTCAGCAAATAGAAGAAGACAAAAAGACGATGCTAGAAGGAAGAGAATAAAAGAGAGGAACAGAGCAAATAATGAACAAAAAGGAAGAGAAGATAAAGATACTAAAGGAGGAGGAAGAACAGAGCAAATAATGAAGAACAAAAGGAAGAGAAGATAAAGATACTAAAGGAGGAGGAAGAACAGAGCAAATAATGAACAAAAAGGAAGAGAAGATGAACAAAAAGGAAGAAAAAGATACTAAAGGAGGAGGAAGAACAGAGCAAATAATGAACAAAAAGAAGAAGATAAAGATATTAAAGGAGGAGGAAGAACAGAGCAAAAAGGAAGAGAAATAATGAACAAAAAGGAAGAGAAGATAAAGATACTAAAGGAGGAGGAAGAACAGAGCAAATAATGAACAAAAAAAGGAAGAAAATAAAAGATATTAAAGGAGGAGGGAAGAACAGAGCAAATAATGAACAAAAAGAGAAGATAAAGATACTAAAGGAGGAGGAAGAACAGAGCAAATAATGAACAAAAAGGAAGAGAAGATAAAGATACTAAAGGAGGAGGAAGAACAGAGCAAATAATGAACAAAAAGAAAGAGAAGATAAAGATATTAAAGGAGGAGGAAGAACAGAGCAAATAATGAACAAAAAGGAAGAGAAGATAAAGATACTAAAGGAGGAGGAAGAACAGAGCAAATAATGAACAAAAAGGAAGAGAAGATAAAGATATTAAAGGAGGAGGAAGAACAGAGCAAATAATGAACAAAAAGGAAGAGAAGATAAAGATACTAAAGGAGGAGGAAGAACAGAGCAAATAATGAACAAAAAGGAAGAGAAGATAAAGATACTAAAGGAGGAGGAAGAACAGAGCAAATAATGAACAAAAAGAAAGAAATGTACACAAAATGGGTTTTGGAAGATGGTTCCTGATCCTTGTAGTGTTGATGGAAAGGAATTGATTTCCAGCTTGTTTATGGGGGTCTTAGCTTGGGTTTGATGTCTTGCTATTTTTTTATGAAATATTTTCAGACTGCATCTGATTTAAAAAAAAAAATAGTTTTTAAAAAAGTGAAAGAAACAGGGAAATTAATATTGAAAGTGTACACAAAATTTGGGGAAGTGTTGATGGAAAGGTGTCTTGTTTACATGTTTTTGTGTTGACGGCAGATTTAAATAAAAAAATGGTGAAAGCAATTGATTTGGGGATGTTTTTGTGTTGGGAGTGGGTGAAAAGAAGAGGATGTGGGGATGGCAGTCTGGAAGAATTGTCTTGGAATTACTCAGCCGCTGCAGTGACAGCCAAATATCAGTCACTTTAATTCCATTTTGTCCGCTCCTACAATGTCCATGACCTCCTACCACAACATTTTCAACCTGGTGGCATGTTGTAGTTGTTTTATCAAATGTCATAATCGTCTTCCCTCTCACTCTTGCAAGCACACACACACACACTTTCTCTCTTCCTCTCTGTATCTCTTTCTCTAAACCTTTGCATTCACTTTCACTCACTTTCTGTCTCAATCTCTGTCAAAAAATCTCTTCGATATAACTCTTGCTTTTTATTAATATCCACATCTTTCTTTCTTTTTTGTTCCTGTTTTTTTCTTTCTTGGTTCCTTCTTTCTTTTTTTTATATATATATATATATATATATATATATATATATATATATATATATGTATGTGTGTGTGTGTGTGTATATATATATATATATATATATATGAAATCCAGTTTATTTTTAATGCCAAACATAATTTAAAAAAACCCTAATCCCAGATAATATATAACTGCATCAACATTGCAATAACCAAATATATTTTGAAAATTTAAATTATTGCCAGTCAATATGCAGCACCTGGTGTGTACAATGGTTGAATCATGATCGTGAATATGACAATGAAGATGAGGACAATAGTTCAAACAATGTAAATAGTGTAAATATCTAGCTAATTAATGTCGCTTTCAAACTATGTTAGAGTTAGATTAAGGCCATACAGTGTTGAAACATCAGTTCCCATATGATCACTGGAATTAAGCAAAATCAAGCTTGGGTGTGTCATTGGTGTAATGAATAATGGCTCGGAATTGTTAGGTGGAGAGCCGAGTTCCAGTTTTAGTTTTTGTTACACTTATGTGTAAATACCCTTGGGAAAGGTATTAATACACCTCCTCCCAGCTATGGGTTAATTAGTAAGACTCATTTCATTAAATTATTATTATCTCAAAAAATTTTCTGGCTTCAAATGAACTGCAAAGGGTTGATAAGTCATAAAAAAACGAATCAAGCAAACAATTGACACAGTTCAAAATTGTTTACACAGAGTTTTGGAGGAAGGCTTCCACTGTACCCCGTCTTTCCCACAGATGCAATATTGTTGCTACTCTATTTCTATTTCCATGGTAAGACTCCCAGGTGGATGCTTCCCTCAACAATCTTAACCTCTTCAAGTTAAGGGTCAGTTGCTATCTATCCTCATAATCTTCACTATATATATATATATATATATATATATATATATATATATATATATCAGTTCAGTTCAAATTTTAATACTAGGACATTACATCTGGGGAGTAAAATCATCCTCATTTTCTCTATATTCAAAATGAGACCTTTATAGCCAAGAACCTGCCTTGCTACATCCACAAGGTTGAATCACCCTTATTCCTTATGTATTTCATGGAGAAAAAGAATGTTTCACTCAGACAGATTCTTCCCAAGAACTGCTACTGTCTGTTACAGACTCCTGCCTGGATGCTTCCCTGAACAAGGACCAACTGTTATCTTTTTGTTATAACAACGAACACTCGTTGCCACTTTTGTAATGTCAATGAATACTTGTTGTCACTTTCATAATGCCGGTTGTAATGGAGACTTGGTAGTTGCAGACACAACTATACTAATGCCATTGAACAATACTGGTGTCAGACGCCTTTGAATAACACTCGCACTAATAGTACATACTTGATAATACTTGCATGAATAGTAACTCCCGAATAATGATCTGAATAGTAATCCATATAGTGAATACTTAGATACCACGCTAATTCCCATGTACACATTTCCTTTATCATCACGTGACCTACTTATTCAAAATGAGATTGCTTGGTTTGCTATCTGGTGATCTGTGTTCAAACTCCAGTGTTGGCAGTAGCACTTTATAACATATCTATTCTCCTCATCCACATTCCTAACACCTCTTTCATTCCTCTCGGGCACCTCACTCAAATGTTTTACAGTAAACTTCTACCTTGAAGAGCTCTTGAGCCATTTATTGGGGGAATTTTAAGTATGAAAAATCCTTTTAATATTTTCTCTTGATCTTTTTTCTCTTGTAATGTATCTTTCTATTTTTTCATTCTTCGTGCATTTTTCTTTGACTGTTGCCTCTCCCTAACTTCCTTTCATTCACTTTAACTCTCTCTTTTTCACTTTTTATTTCCATCTTGCTTGACTTTTTTCCCCATCATCTTTCTTTCCGTTCACAGATTTTAATTTTGTCTTTTGAATAATTTTTTTCCTAATAATAATAACAATAAAACTGCAATGTGATCTCTGATAAAAATGGTAATACAAATCCTTAAAATTCATATACTGATGTCCTCAAGGACATATGGCCAAGTGTTGATTGGTTCCAGGGACTTGACCCAAAGAGTTGTGAGTTCAATACCTGGCTATGGCAGTGGTGAACAAAAACTTGGAAAGCTGAGTTAAAGGGATTTGATTAACTGAGATATTTGGACTGAAGAGAGAAATTCTGATGTATTTGAACTCTTTCGTTCCATAGTCTAACTCTGTTTTCTCTCTCAGATATTTCACTTGTACTTTTCTTTCTCTCTCTCTTGTTCCATATCCTCACTCCCTACTGTCTCAGTGTCTTCAATGTCTCCTTTTCTTCACTTGTACTTTAATTTTTCTTTCTCTCTTTTTCTTTCCATAAAGCCTCTTCCTTTCTCTGATGTATCTATTCAGTAAATCTATTTACTTGTTTTCTCTTTCTTCCTCTCTTTCCACATTCCCCCTTCATTCCTCTCTCTGGTGTCTGAGTATCTTCAGTGTCTCATTTTTTCCCTTGTACTTTTCATTCACTTTCTCTTTCCACATCTCCTCTTCCTCCTACTCTCTCTGCTGCCTTACTCTCTTCAGTGTGTCCTTTTTGCCCTTGTACTTTTTTTTTTGACATTCCCTTCCTGCCTCTTTGCTACCTTACTCTATTTAGTGTCTCCTTTTCCCCGCTTGGACTATTCTTTCTCTCTATCCACATTCCCTCTTCCTCTCTTTCTGCTGCTTTACTGTCTTCCATGTCTCATTTTTTTTCTTCTACTTTTCTTTCTCTTTCTACATCTCCTCTTCTTCCTCCTCTGCTGCCTTACTCTCTTCAATTTTTTCTTTTTGCCTTCTACTTTTTTCTTTTGCCATATCCACTTTTTTCTGCTTTTCTGTTGCCCTACTTTCCTCAATGTTTCTTATTTCCTTGTACTTTTTCTTTCTCTTTCTACATCCCCTCTTCCTCCCTCTCTGCTGCCTCACTCTCTTTAGTGTCTCCTTTTTTCCTTGTACTTTTTTCTCTTTCTACATCTCCTCTTCCTCCCTCTCTGATGCCTTACTCTCTTTAGTGTCTACTTTTTCCCTTGTACTTTTTTCTCTTTTTACATCTCCTCTTCCTCCCTCTCTGCTGCCTTACTCTCTTTAGTGTCTCCTTTTTTTCCTTGTACTTTTCTTTCTCTTTCTACATTCCCTCTTCCTCTGCTGTTTCATTTTCCTTAGTGTCTCCTCTTAGTGACACATCTTTTGGTTCTAGCACCTTCAAGAATAACAAATACATTTTTCTGAAGAGTCAAGTTTTGTCATTTGAACTGAGTGGGTGGAAGTCACTGGTGAGAAGGAATAGTGTAAGGTGGGGGTCTACAATGTGTATCATGGGGGAAATACATGGTGGGGCTACAGGCTCACAACATTTATAAACACAGATTATGAAATTAACAAAGCACTGGTTCATATTACCAATTCCGTTTTTTTTTTTTTTTTGGTAATGTTGTAATTCTATCTTTTATGATGTTTTAATTATAGTTTTTTAACTTTTTTTTATACAAACACAATCCATTATTCACTCACATTTTACACTTTTTCATTTCTCTTTTTCTTCATTCCCTCTTCTACTTTTTTATTTTCTTCATATTTTCTCATTTTTTTTATTCATCCTTCTTCATCTTGACTTTTCTAATTCTTTTATTTCTCTTTTCCTTTCTTTTTACCATTTCTTCTTCTTCTTCATTTTCCTCCTTATCATTTTCTTTTACCTTTCCTTTTCCATTTCCTTCTTCAGTGTCTGATCTTTTTCTTCTTTTCCTTATATTTTGTTCCTTTCTTCTTTTTCTTTTCTTGTTCTATTTCCTTCCATTTTTTTCTTTCATGATTTTTTTCTTTTTCACTTATTCCTTTCCTTTTTTCCTCATATTACCTTCCTTTCATCTTTTCTTCCTCTTTTCTTTCCTTCACAATATTTCTGTTCTCCTCATTCTTCTTCTGCTTATTTTTTCTTTCTTTTGTCCTTTTTTTGACTTTTCTTCTTCACTTTTTTTTCTCTTCCTTTTTCTATTATCCTTTTCTATCTTTCTTTCCTACTTTTATTTTTCTTTTCCTCTTTTCTTTCACTTCTTGGTCTTTAATCCTTCAGTTTTTCCTTCTTTTTTTTCTTTTTCTTTCCTCATACATATTTTTCTTATCCTCTTTAATCATGCTTTTCTTTTTCTTCTTTCTTTCTTTTATTCTTTACTCTTTCTTTTCCTTTTTCTTTACTCTTTCTTTTCCTTTTTCTTTACTCTTTCTTTTGTTCACAATGTTTTCTTTCTTTTTTTTTTCATTGAAAGCACAACTTAAACTCCCTCTCCACCTTTCTGAAATCTTTTTTCTCTTTCATTGCTTTCAACATTGTTTATCATATGACCACCGAAGTTAAGCAACATTGAAACTGAGCAATACTTCAATGGGTGACTTCTAACGAATAACAGGTGTTGTAAGCTTGGATGTGCGGTTGGTGTAGTGATAATGGTTTGGAATTGTTCATCGGAAAATAGAGTACCAATTCCAAGCAGGTTCATTATATTCACTTACATGGGATATACCCTTGGGAAAGGCATAACTCTACTTTGCTCCATCCTCCAGCTATGGGTTAATTAGTAGCACTTCTATCTGTAAATCATTATTTCTCATATAAAATTATTATCTAAAAATATTATCTGGCTTTAACCCCTTCCTAGCATAGACATACATACATATATATATATATATATATATATATAGGTAACATGTGAATGAATAGAATTCCAATGTTCAGAACATTTAATTTAAACGACAAAATGCATTAATACGCATTGAAACATGACTCCAATTGCGTAGTTGTTTTAAGGCAGTAGAGAACTTGGAGAAGGGGAATTAACAGGAGATAAGTGATAACTGACATCCGTTAAATATGTCACGGGGAATAAAGGGTTCAGTTTGATATTCCAACCACCTGAAGTAGGCCAGAGCATACAACAGCCAAAACGTTGTAATAAATATGGCGATAAAGATGAGGACAATAGTTCGAATAATGTAAATAGGTTTTCATGCTTTTTATCTTTTATCATTTATTTTTTTAATGAAATTTTTTTCAGTCAAGTATGAATAAACACATCCAAAACATAACGTTCAAAAACCAGCTATAGACAGATTTATACATCAATCTTGGCTCTTTTTATGCCCTTCTGCACTTGAAATGAATCCATTTGTTAACTCAGTATCTGCTAGAGGTGTTACCCACTGCTTGGGTACTTCAAGGCATTAGTTTCTTAGTTACTATATTGGAAACAAATAAAAAAAATTGTCTGAAAATGAAACATTTTTCCCAAAATAATTGGCAGGGAAAGGGTTAAGGTATATTTTATGAAGCTAGAACATTTAGCTATTAACAGATCGCAATGTTTATCAGAGAGATGAAATTTAAATTTTTATTATTGCATTATTCCAAAATTTTAAAATATCAACAGATAGCTATCGGTGTCAATAACTGAATACAAATTGTTATTAATTAAAAAAAATTAGTAATTAATGTAAAATATTATCCATAACTATATGTACAAGAATGTTGTTTTTTATAAAAGTTAAAAATAACCATAAATACGTAAAAAATGCGTATATTTTTGAAAATTCCTTTTTCCACAATATATCTATTTTTGCCATGTTATAATTCTTATAATCTAAACAATAATAATACTGAATAATTTTTTTAAGGATAAAAATATATTTATTTGTATCTCCCTAATTGTTGTTGCAATATGTTAACATCAAGAAGAGATAGTTGAAATTTCTGGTGCACATAATGTAGAAGGTGAGCTTGGAAAATCATATAAATGGGCAAGACATCAAACCATGTCTTCTTCCTCCAGATATGAGTTAACAGATCATGAAATCTATTAGAGAGATGAAAATTTAAATTTTTATTGTATTATTCCAGAATTTTAACACATCAGCAGATAGCTGTTAATGTCAACAACTGAGCACAAATAGCTATTACTTTTAACAAATTAGTAATTAATGTATAATATTATCCATAACTAAATGTACAAGAAAGTCATTTTTGATAAAAGTTAAAAAAATAACCATAAATACGTAAAAATGCATATATTGTCAAAAATTCCCTTTTCCACAATATAGCTATTTGTGCTATGTTATAATTCTTATTACCTAAACAATAATAATATTGAATAATTTTTTTAAAACATTAAAGTATATTTAATTAAATCTCCCTAATAGCTGCCACGGTCCGTAAATTAAAATATTTTATTATTATAAATAAAGAAACCTGTTCACAACATACCGTTCAAAACCCAGCTAGAGGCATACATCAATCTTGATTCTTTTTTATGCCGTTTTGATCTTGAGACAAGTCCAATTGTCAACTCATACATCTACTAGAGATGTTAGCCATTGCTCAGTGCCTCAGTTTCTTAGTTACTATATTAAAAACAAATAAAAAATTTGTATGAAAAAGGAACGTTTTTCTCAAAATAATTGACAGGGAATAGGTTAAATAACTTGCAAAAGGTTGATAAGCCATAAAAAAACAAATGAATCAATCTTTCCTTTTCTTTCATTCTTCACTTCTCTCTTTCTTTCACTGTTTTCCTTTCTTTCCAGTTCTGTATTGATCAATCATTCTCTCTTCTTTCTAACCTTCTCTGCTTACTCAGATTTTTTATTTCAGTTAATTTCACACATTTTTCTTGCCCACTCTCTCTCACTCATTTTCTGTCTATTTTATCACTAATTTTGTATTAGTTTCTCTTACTCTCTCTCTCTATTTTTGTCTCATTCTCTAGTCACTCACTCTCTTTCTCTAAAACAAAGTAAGGGAAAAGATTAGAGAGTACAACATGCACCTGAAGAAGGTTGAAGAATAAATCAGCCAGAATATTGTAATAAAACAATAAAGATGAGTATACAAGTAAGATTAAAGGAAGGCCAAAGAATGTAGCAGCTGAAATTTTTTCATAAAACCATGAAGATATTAATACATGTCCAAATATTTAATGGAGTAATGAAACTTTCTCTGTGATATAACAACATTAACTGCAATGTAATAATACCTGTAATAAAATATAATATACAATAATATATATATATATATATATATATATATATATATATATATATGAGGCATGGTAGAGTAATGGATAGTGGCTTGGATTGAGCTGAGTTCAAATTCCAGTTGAATCTAATTTATTTACTTACATGCTAATATCCTTAGGAAAGGTATGAATCCTCCTCTTCTCCCCTCAGCTATGGGTAAAATAGCAGAACAAACTGGATTCTATAGCCTTGGATGGCAACTGGTCTAGGAGAAGGACAACTTTAACTGATATATAACATTTAAAATAACAAGATATATATATATATATATATCTGTGTGTGTATACACACATATATATCTATATATATATGTGTGTGTGTGTATATACACACACACATATATATATACATATCTATATATATATATCTGTGTGTGTGTGTGTATGTATATATTTATATCCAAATGTAAAAGAACGAAGAGTAAGATTTCAGCGTTCAAAACATTAATACAGAGCTCAATACAAAAGTAGAGCTGTAAATATTTATTTATTATGCAATGTTACACTGGAACATGCACATACACACTACAAAACTGTACATCTTGTTTCAACATTAAAAAAAACAAAAACTTTTTTTTAACATTTCATCAGGTGGGGAATCACGGTGAAACATTAAAAAAGAGTTTTTGTTTTTTTTAATGTTAAAACAAGATGTACAGTTTTGTAGTGGGTATGTGCATGTTCTAATGTAACACTGCATAGTAAATATATATATGTTATTGGTCCTGACCTCATGTCCCACCTGCAGTCATTTTCACACCACAATGTTCAGCAGAATAAGAATTGAATACACACACCTATCTGAGTGAAGCAGAAACTACACCCTGGTGTACTCACTGTAATCAATTTCTCAGTCAAACATATCTTAATAGAATGCTCAAAAAATACATAGCAACTATTACCCATGCACAAAATCTTAACAGGCTCTTCAAAAATGTATGTACTGCCCAAATAATAGGACATCTGAAGAAAATAAAATAATTCCATCTTCTATAGAGAATAGAGCTTGGATTTTGAACCATACAGCTTATGTTTTGAAATACTCCCAAACTATATAACTTGTGATACTTTGAAAACAATTTTAAATAACCACTTGAAATGTTTTGAAACATTCTTGAATAAAAATTCAGTTTCAGTATTAAAAGACCTACAGGGATTTTGTTTTGAAAATAATAATAAGAATAAGAAGAAAAATATTAATATGAAAAATAACAAATATATATATATATATATATATATATATATATATAGGTCACAGTAAACCATCATAAGGCAAAGGTTAATTGGTAAGATCAAGCTTCTGTTATAGGAGTTGTTTCCACTGATAGAAAGGGAATATGGATTTGATACCTATCATGAGGTAATTTTTTTCTCTTAGTAAGTCTCTTAAATCTAGGCTGGTTGCCATTAATTTCACTGTTTAAGAAAATAAAAAAAAATGATGTCAAATCAAACATGTATATCCACTAAAAATAATGTTTATAACAGAAGAAATCTAATCTAGCTGGTATCTCGACTTCAGTCACTTTCTCACCAATGTGATGTGGCTCTGTCTTTTCTACAAATATTTTTATGGCAAATGCTCTGCTAAGCTTTTTTCCCTGGTGCTCTGACTACATGAATTTAACACTTTGAGCCCTGACCACCGATTTACATGTGGTAGAGAAAAATGAGTTAACACTCAGCGACTGTTTGAACAGTGGTAGAGAAAATGCCTTAATGTCCACCGGTTGAACGGTCGGTAAAAACTTGTAACTATTTTTATATCTGCCGTGAAACATTACATACTAATTATTTGCAAATTTTGACTCAGGAGCTCAGGCAGAAGGGTTAAAATTGTTCAGAAACGTAAGGCCCAAAAGGTTAAGCCTGCTACTAGATTGGCATCTAGGTCACCCATTTACTGCTGTAATAGCTAAATGCAACCACCACTTCTACTCTAACAGTTTCTTTTATCACACCTGTGGAACTCCCCCCTACCCCCAATTTCTTACATCCCGGATAACTACAATCTTTAAAAATTTAAATGCAACGTCAATTGCCATCTTCTACATCTTGAACCCAGTTGCTTTTTTGTTCTTTCTTCAATCCGCCCCATTCTCAATCTTCTCACTCTGTAACCCCCTGCATTCTAGTGGGATTGTTGCCTTACTTGGGGTGAAATTATATATCCACAGGGTGGTCCGAAAGTCATGTCACCTCTACATAATA